TAGCATTTCTCACTTGCTTTTCGCGTCCTACCTATTAAGCGATTACACATACGTTAAGAGAGCTGGTGGGTGGTTATAATGCAATACCCTGCACGGTGAACAGCTTGCGAGTTCTGCAGCGGTGCGATTGCTGAGGCTTATCGCTGACTGAAAAGGGTGAATACAGTAAATACAGATGGCTGTGTTGGATCCCTTTGCTTTTGCCCAACATTCAGCGTTTGAATTGTGGCTTTACCGTCCCTCTTATTAAAGTTATCTAACTTTTTGTAGCTTCGTCAGGTTAGACACGACGCGCGCGGCGGTATCCATCTGGCGGCCGCTGGCGGAACTACCGCGCACGGCCCGCACACGGGCCTGGCGGCCGCCAGTGGAACTACTGCGCAGGTGGCAGCACCTGCCCGTGGAGAAGCGGCTGGCAATCGGCCGCCCCACTCCCCACCCCGCCCCCACCCAGCTGGCCGCCAGACCGTGGGAACGACTCGGCTCAGCACTGCCGGCCGCTGGACGGGGAAACCCCGCCCCGCCGCCCGCCGCCCATCTCAGCCGACAATATCGGCCGACAATAGAAATCCGCTGAATGGCGGTGCCTCCCTGATAATCGCACGCGCATTCAGCGGCGGCTTGTCGATTTTTCGAGTGTCGGCTGCCGATCTCCCGAGAGCCGGCCACCTGTCTGCCGCCGCTCGGCTCTGTGTTAAAGGGACCCTCCCACCTTAACATTAGTTTTGAGTTGAGATAGCCAAGTTTGCGGCCAGGCTCAGAAACCACCATTTATCCTGGTCGCAACCCCCGCAGCTTTATGGTGTTCAAGAAATTTCTTCCCTTTACTTGCAGGGTGGGACCAGCGTGGTCCCTATCTCTTAACCATTACGGGAATCTGATGACGTCATCAGGCTTTCGAACGTCCGTTAAATGTTTGACTAAAACGTTTTGTAGCACGCGGTGGTATATGCTGCTTTGCGCGCAACAAATGCCGCACTTTCAAATAAAGTCGCTAGGAACAGCGGAGATCCCAAAAAGTAAACAAAAGTAAAAGTCTAATATCTTGAAAACCGGTGAATATTTTTCGATGAAATTTGGTAGATATTCGTTTTTGCTCTTTCTGAACCGAGCGACATCACTTTCATGCCAATTCATTAACTTTTTTGAAGGTGGGAGGGTCCCTTTAAGCATATGGGGACGGCGAATTTCTCCCGGAGGGAAGCACCTCGCTCACAAAAGCACGTGAATCAGCCGCATTCCTGGTCATCGTCTAATGCTTAAGAGATATGTGTGTACGCAGCTATCTCGCAAGCCCTAACAGGAAAAGCTCGCTGCAAAAACTGAGCGTTTCAAAAAACCCGCAATCCTAGTCAAATAGTATACTATACAAGATATCTTGCGCTCGCTCCGCGTCGCTTTGGTAATCAAAGTATGAGGGAGAAAATTTGGGATCGATTGGTGTTTTTCCGGTGACGATCGGACGTCTAGAAGCTTCGATATTCGCGAAAAACATGCTGAACTTGCAAAAGTACTTGGTACTTGCTTGAAACTTGCCAAAGTACTCGGTACTTGCCAAAGTACTTGGTACTTGCTTGGTATTTGCATAAGTACTCGGTATTTGCCAAAGTACTTGGTACTTGCTTGGTATTTGCAAAAGTACTTGGTACTTGCTTGGCACTTGTAAAAGTACTTGGTACTTGCTTGGTACTTGCAAAGATACTTTGTACTTGCTTAGGACTTGCAAAGTTACTTGGTACTTGCCTGGTACTTCGGGATAGTTTTCTACCTCGGGATAGTTCCGTGTTCGTCAGGTAGGAAAACTTGCCACTCTATTCTAGGCTGCTGTCCCCTCCCTCCCCCCCCCCCCCCCCAGGTCCACCGCCCAAGTTTGTGATCGATCGGTGCTTGTCCGGTGTCGATCTGACATCTAGAATCTGAGATATAAGTATCAACGAAATGCTGTCAGTCGCCAGTGACGTCATATGAACTGTTGGCCACCAGTGACGTCACGGCGACTTTCTGCCGCTCCGCCGTTTCTGTCGCCTGGCCGCTGGGGGCCGGCCGCTAGGTGGCATGAGATGCTGCCGCCAGCTGGCAGCACCTATCAAGCGTGCGTGCCGGTCGACTGCGCAGGTGGCAGCACCTCCCCGACTGTTCATTTACGGCGGCCAGGCCGGCCGCCGGCTGCCGCGATCTCCGGAACGGCAGTAGCCCGCTCATCTTCGCACGCGCATTCAGTGGCGGCTTGTCGATTTTTCGAGTGTCGGCTGCCGATCTCCCGAGAGCCGGCCACCTGTCAGCCGCCGCTCGGCTCTGTGTTAAGCATATGGGGACGGCGAATTTCTCCCGGAGGGATGCACCTCGCTCACAAAAGCACGTGAATCAGCCGCATTCCTGGTCATCGTCTAATGCTTAAGAGATATGTGTGTACGCAGCTATCTCGCAAGCCCTAAGAGAAAAAGCTCGCTGCAAAAACTGAGCGTTTCAAAAAACCCACAATCCTACTCAAATGGTATATTAAACAAGATATCTTGGCTCGCTACGCGTCGCGTTGGCCATAAAATGATTAAGGAGAAAATTTGGGACCGATTGGTGTTTGTCCCGTGTTGATCGGACGTCTAGAAGCTTAGATATTCGCGAAAAACTTGTTGAACTTGCCAAAATACCTGCCAGCTTGCTGTATCACCTGCTACTTGGTAATGTACTGAAAACTTGCTAATGTACTGAAAACCTGCCAAAGGTATTTACTTGCCTAAATACCGCAAAGAACTTGTTCTAAAATACTTGGTATTTACTTGCCTAAATACCGCAAAGGACGACCAAAGACTTTCCAAATATCCTTGGTCTCAGTTCGTTTTACTTTGTTTTCAATGAATTGTTTGCAATTAGAGTTATGTTTAATTCCAATTCGACTGTTGTTTCACCTACCTATCATTTCTCACTTGCTTTTTGCGTCCTACCTATTAAGCGATTACACTTACGGTGAAAGAGCCGGTGGGTGGTTATAATGCAATACCCTGCACGGTGAACAGCTTGCGAGTTTTGCAGCGGTGCGATTGCTGGGGCTTATCGCTGACTGAAAAGGGTAAATACAGTAAATACAGATGGCTGTGTTGGATCCCTTTACTTTTGCCCAACATTCAGCGTTGGAATTGTGGCTTTACCGTCCCTCTTATTAAAGTTATTTAACTTTTTGTAGATTCGTCAGGTTTGAAGCGACGCGCGGGGCGATATGCCTCTGGCGGCCGCACGCGGAACTACCGCGCACGGCGGCTCTGGCCGGACGACTGCACAGGTGGCAGCACCTGCCCACATTGCACACCGCCGCCGGGCCGGCCGGTGGAATTTTCCAGCCGTCGGCCGGCCGGTGGCCGGCGAATTTCTCCCGGAGGAAAGCACCTCGCTCACAAAAGCACGTGAATCAGCCGCATTCCTGTGTGGCGCGCAATGCTTAAGAGATATGTGTGTACGCAGATATCTCGCAAGCCCTAAGAGAAAAAGCTCGCTGCAAAAACTCAGCGCTTCAAAAAACCCGCAATCCTACTCAAATGGATAATTAAACAAGATATCTTGCGCTCGCTCCGCGTCGCTTTGGCAATCAAAGTATGAGGGAGAAAATTTGGGATCGATTGGTGCTCGTCCCGTGTTAATCGGACGTCTAGAAGCTTAGATATTCACGAAAAACTTGTTGAACTTGCCAAAGTACCTGCCAGCTTGCTGTATCACCTGCTACTTGGTAATGTACTGAAAACTTGCTAATGTACTGAAAACCTGCCAAAGTACTTGGTATTTACTTGCCTAAGTACCGCAAAGAACTTGTTCCTTTCCGACGTTTAAATCAGACGTCTTTAGACGACCAAAGACTTTGCGAATTTATCTTGGTCTCAGATAGTTTTTTGATTTGTTTCAATGAATTGTTTGCAATTAGGGTTCTGCTTATTCCCAATCCATGTTTTGTTTCACCTACCTATCATTTCTCTGTTGCTTTTCGCGTCCTACCTATTAAGCGATTACACATACGATATAAGCCTCGCAAAAGCGTCCGCACGGCCGGCCGGCCGGCCGGCCGCTCATACTCAGAAATTTCCGTTAATCTAAGGAAAGACTACGCTCGCTTCGCTCGCTCCGTAACGACTATATTCAATACTGTACGAAAGTTGACTTTGATAACCTGACCTTGACCTGAGCTATGTTTTGTGACCTGTACTTGTCGGGATATACATTCAATGCTCTAACAAGTGAATTCCGTATGGAAAAATGACCTCAAGAAATATGCCGCATGACTATCTTTCTTTATTTTTTAAAGTTGGAACTTTTGTGATCTGACCTTGACCAATGTCATTCATTCTTTTTCGCTTTAATGTCTTACATAACTTTTAGACCATTACAAGCTAATACCTTTTTGAAAGATGACCTAAAAACTTGTGCCGCATGACCACGTTTCTTCATGTTTAAAAGTTGATCTTTTGCAACCTGACCTTGACCTGATCTTTACTTAGCACCATCCCATGGGCACTTCAGTACCTTGCTGTGGCTATCTAAGGACTGTCCAGAGACAAAACAAAACAAAAAGTTTATAAAGCATTGTTTTGTCTCAGCAGGCGCCATAGTAAAAATAATAATATTTGATATTTGTCCTCAGTTTGACCTGACCCGTGACCTCGATTAAAAAATGCATGCCTTAGATAGCTCACACCAAGGGCTGTCCAACGCCGTTTGCCGCTTGTCGCTACGTTGCTTGGCTCTCGAGAACTTGGGGGGCAACCTCCCCCCCAACGGGGCGCGTTGCTCGGCAGCCCCAACGGGGCACGGGTTATCGGACGCCATTTGATATTTGACAATCGTCCCAGTAGTTTTGAAGTCAGGAGGGGATATGAATAGCCCCCCCCCCGAGCCGCGTTATAGAAATGCCCCAGTGGGGCGCAGGCTAAGCATAATAAATTATAAAACCGTAGGAAAATAACTAATTTAGGGTAAGTGATATATTTCCTTAAAAAAAGTTGTTACTATCAGCTCACCTGTTTCTCGCCGGCCGCCTCCGGCCCAGCGGCGGTCTCTCCGCTGAACGACATCCTGCAACTGTGACCGGGCGGAGCCGCCGCCACTGTCTTTTGTGCCCCTGATAGGGGACTGCACATGACTCACTCGTACAAACACACTCATCCAATCCCACGGTTCGACGCTGGCGGCCAGTTTATTTAGGTACCTACGGAGAAGCCGGGAGGGGCCCGGGCGCGCGGGGGAAGTCCCGCCGCCGCCCTGCCGGTCGGTATGTTGACAATGAAATCAGCTATTTGTCACTGCAATCCCAGCGGGGACTTACTTTCGGCCGTCGGGTATCCTACCGCAGGCCTGCGTAATCCAGCCGGGTCTGAGCATCGGGAATAGGTGATGCGCTGAGTTCGTTTGGGGCTGATTTATTACGTCACTAATTTTTTCGGGCGATTGTAGAAATAAAAAATTACTTGGTCATCTAAATCAATCTATCTGTACGTATCGGGACCTGGGGGACTTAAATGCGTCTCAATTGATTGGGTGACTCGATTTTAGTAGCCTTCCGTCGGTTGGACGTGATGGATGGATCCGACGCACCGATGAGCGTAAGGTACTTCCAGGAGTAGCTGTAGGTACAAACCACCAGATGACACTAAGATTGCAATCTATTTGCCGCACCCTGTGCCCCTCCTCATCAGAGTAAGGTTGTTACTGATTGTAGTGAGGGGCCTTCCCCCGCCTCCCCCAACAGGACATGTAACCTGCCAGACCTCAACTGGGTCCTGGCTGATCCCAGCTCGATAGCCCCATTGGGCACTACGTACTGCGTGACACAATTTCATTCACTTAGCTGCAAAAGATGACGTCACAGGTCAGGAAATGACGCATTTTTTACCTTTTAAAGGCATATAAAAAGGAAAAATATTGTATGAAAAAGTAATTAAACAATAGGTAAAAAATATCTTTAAAAATAGCATATTTCTTACTATAAATAAAAGTAACAAAATATTGTTATAGAATCGAGTATATGACAGGTGTTGAATATCATCGATAGAGCATTGTTTGTCTAATACATATGTGCAACTATATAAGTGACGGATTACTGACGGATCGGGGATATCTGAGTAAAAAAAAAAAGAATTTGGGGGCAAATCATTATAAAATCATTTTTTAGTGTATCGGAAAAATTGGAATACATATTAGAGAAGTAGTCGCTGTCCATCTGCATTTCAATGTTTAGAACAATCGATCAAAAAGAGTAGGAGCTATTCCATTTTTTGCTATATTTTAGGCAAGACAATGGTTCACACTTCACAGTTCATTCTTATTACTTGAAAAGGTCATAACTATAGTAATATTTACTTCGGGCAAATACTTAGGGTGAATTTGATATTTAATTTAATCATCAGATGGTTGCAAAAGCCACTTAAAATCCCAAAGCCGGCTTGCGCAGAAGCCGTTTATCCGTGCACTGTCTGGGCAATTTCCCTATCCACGGCAGTCGGGGGGGGGGGAGGAGGGGTCAGATACGACCCCTCTGTTATCTCGAGAACCATTGGTCGTATCGAGCCCCGAGACGCGGTGTTGCAAGCTCTCCACGGGATCTTCCTTAACCCTCGCCCGCACATGCCATTTTCCCATTCTAGAACGCACATGGGGGGGGGGACGGTGGTTGCCACCCCCGCGCCATTTCGTTCCTGTTGGAGATAAAGCTTAGCGGTAAGACCAAAAAGGTTTCTTGGGAAGAGACGAATCCAATGATACCCAGTTTTACCTTCTCAGGTCAGTCATTGACCTTCCAGGTCAGGTCAAACTAAAAAATGTTGCTGTTTTGGGTCACCGTTGGATATCAAGTGCGCTGCTTATCATATACCGATGACGATGCCGCTTTCTGGTGCCAAGCCAGCTAGAACCTCTTTGTCACACTACCCGACCAGGTTTTTGCTGCTGAGGTCATTTCAGGTCAAGTTTGGTCTAGGTCAGTTATATGTGTTTGTATGTCTGTGTGTGTCTGTGTGTACACTGATGTGTGCACTGATTGTTTATGTGTCCATATTACATTAAATCATGATCTGAGAAGCTTTTACCAAAAATGCAGTCAAAAAACTTCACAAAAAGTAAATTCCGCTTGCCTAAAACGCGATTATCTTAGATGACCTAGGTTGACCTTGACCTTGTTCTTGACATCTGTACATCGTCGAACAACATGTTCCATGATAGTTGGGAGGTAAGACTGGCAAAAAAGACCGAAATCAAGGTGTCAAAAGCTCACAAGGCCCATAGCCAACGCAAGATGTTGAGAATTGGCCATTTGGATCTTGACATGACCTGAAAAACAAGGTCATATCTCCGAAACCCAGGGTTGCCAGACTTGGCGATATGTCGCCAATTTGGCGAATTTTGAAAGTCATTGGCGATAGAAGCACGGCGTTTGGCGCTAGGCGATAAAACGTCAAATGTTGGCGAATTTCCATAATTCACCTCCAAATCACCGAATATTATTCTAAAAAACAAACAAAACAAAGCAAAAAACATCGTTACAAAATATTTCGTAATCTGATTAATTTAACCTTCCAACGTATCATATTAGTCAAATATAAAAGCTTCCTGATGAAAATATCTTCTGAACCGGTTTACATAGCCTTGTCTGAACCACATCTCGCACGACCTTTGCTATTTTATTTGGCGCTGGTTAAAGGGACCCTCCCACTTTAACATTAGATTTGAGTTGAGATAGCCAAAATGGGGTCCCTGGCTCACAATTACCGGTTTCGGCACACACAACATCGATAAATGCCTTAAATCGGAAATATTGAATTTCAAAATTGCAGCATTTTGATTCAGAGGGGCTAATGCATAGGAATACCCCTCTGAATGTGTGACGTCAGCGCAGATATCTAGCGATTTTTAAATGTTTGACTAAAACGTTTTGTAGCACGCGGTGGTATATGCTAGTGGTGTCAATCGGAACTTAAATCTTCGGAATTCCGATTTTGTCCAATATCCAATTCGGAATTCGGTTGGACAATGGCAGCAGGCTTTGGACAACTTTGGACAATCGCTTGCTACACCTCAACATTTTAAAAAGTAGTCGTGTTTAACATTTATTGGCTATTAGAAAGCTCAGCTTTCGATATGATTAACACTTTTGAGCTTGTAACGGTACATGAAAAGCAAATTAAATAACAGTGTTGAGTGTAAACTATTGCGTAGGTGTCGGACATCTTTGGACAAATGGCTGGCTTGGACATTTTTGGACGGACAATCGACGTAAGCATTGGACATTGGACGGACTTTGGACATACGTTTTCTGAAATTGACACCACTAGTATATGCTGCTTTGCGCGCAACAAGTGCCGCACTTTCAGCTGCCAAACTATTGCTTCCAAATAAAGTCGCTAGGAACAGCGGAGATCCCAAAAAGTAAACAAAAGTAAAAGTCTGATATCTTGAAAACCGGTGAATATTTTTCGGTGAATTTGGGTAGATATTCCTTTTCGCTCTTTCTGAACCGAGCGACATCACTTTCATGCCAATTCATAAACTTTTTTGAAGGTGGGAGGGTCCCTTTAAGGTACGCTGTTATGTAGATGAATATGAGAAACGAGATAGGTAAATCGTGAACTTGGAAACGAATCGTGAACACGGTTACACGAACGCCATCTTGCGCTGCTGCGTATGCTTATACAGTGCATCCTATTTGGCGAATTTTGGCGAAATTCGAGGGGCGAATTTGGCGATAAGGACCATTCTGGATCTGGCAACCCTGCCGAAACCAAAAACCACAGAAACTTGAAATTTTCAGTGGACATTAAGAAAAGATAGAGGAGCAGCTATACGGAAAATCAGCTTTCTAGCCCAAAAAAATGTTGAGTGACGAGCAGAAAGACTACCTGGGGGGGGGGGTTGCCACCCCCCCCCCCCTAGGTAGTTTTTCTGCTCTGCACTCAACATTTTTAGAACTAGAAGGCTGATTTTTCGTATAGCTGCTCCTCTATCCTTTTTTGATGTCCACTGAAAATTTCAAGTTTCTGTGGTTTTTGGTTTCGAAGATATGGCCTTGCTTTTCAGGTCATGTCATGACCCAAATGGCCAATTCTCAACATCTTGTGTTGGCTATGGGCCTTGTGAGCTTTGGACACCTTGATTTCGGCCTTTTTTACCAGCCTTACCTCCCACCTATCATGGAACATGTTGTTCGACGATGTACAGATGTCAAGGTCAAGGTCAAGGTCAACCTAGGTCATCTAAGATAATTGCGTTTTAGGCAAGCGGAATTTACTTTTTGTGAAGTTTTTTGACTGCATTTTTGGAAAAAGCTCATGATTTCATGAGCTTTTACTGATCCTGATTTCCATATTACTGATCATGATTTCATGTAATATGGACACATAAACAATCGGTGCACACATCAGTATACACACAGACACACAGGCATACAAACACATATAATTGACCTTGACCTAACTTGACCTGAAATGACCTCAGCAGCAAAACCTGGTCGGGTAGTGTGACAAAGAGGTTCTAGCTGGCTTGGCACAAGAAAACGGCATCGTCATCGGCTTAATTTTTTAGTTTGACCTGACCTGGAAGGTCAATGACTGACCTGAGAAGGTAAAACTGGGTATCACTGGATTGGTCTCTTCCCAAAGAATCTTTTGGCTTTTACCGCTAAGCTCTATCTCCAACAGGAACGAAATGGCGCGGGGGGTGGCAACCACCCCCCCCCCCCCCATGTGCGTTCTAGGATGGGAAAATGGCATGTGCGGGCGAGGGTTAAGCAATAAGCATTCTTATGATTTTAGATTGAGGTCAGAATACGGGTCAAAATCAGGTCGAGTCAAATTTTGGGGCATCTGCATGGCGAGGCTTATAAACGGCGGAATCCGTAGCTCCTGCCCGAAACTCGCCCGAAGTGACATCGAAGGTTTTGTGAAGATACCTACCCTGGGGGCATAAGTATCATGCTAGGCATGAGTCAAGCTCAGGGTCACCGGTCAAGTCACAAAAGGTCACACTAACCCGCGCCGGGCCCCCTGCAGTTTTTCGCAGATATCTCAAAAACGGCGGCGCGGAGCGCCGCCGT